TTCCCTGCACAGCTCCAGTCGACAACCCCAGCAGCTGGGCCGTTACACAAGGCGTCACAGATGCTATGTTCATTGGCAGCCCTTAGCATACATGGGGAGGGCATTTCTATGTTCTGAGTGTGGGGCACCTGCACATCGGGCAGCTGGCCTGGGGAGAGGAGCACCAAGAGGGGTGAGTCAGGCATGCCAGGGAGAGAGGGCGCCTGGCTGGGGTTGGACAGGGGTTTCTAGCCATACTGAGGAAGTTGTCATGGAAACGACAGGAATGAGCTGTGAAGTGCTTTCTTCCAGGGTCACTGGAATACATCCCATCGACCTGTGACTTGGTCCAAGGCTTTCTGGCTTTTTGGGTGGGAATAGAAGGTGGGGGCTCTGAAGTCCCTGGGCTGAGGGCTTGAGTGGCTCTGGCTTTGTGTCTTCTCAGAACTCTCGGAGCAGATTCAGAGGGCCCTGCAGCTGGAGGAGGAGAGGAAACGGGCACAGGAGGAGGCCGAGCGCCTAGAGGCTGACCGCATGGCTGCACTGCGGGCTAAGGAGGAGCTGGAGAGACAGGCGGTGGATCAGATAAAGAGCCAGGAGCAGCTGGTAGGAATCGCCTGAGTTTCAAGATGCTGAATTATAGAGAGGATGCTTCTGAGGATGGAAAATGTGACACCTGCCTTGTAATAATTGTCATGACTGGAAGCTGTAAGCTGATCTGGGGGCTGAAGCAGCTGACAGGGAAGGGGCTGGGCTGTTGCCAGGGTCACCCATAGAAGGTGGGTGTGGGCATCCAGGAAGAGACAGCAGGGGTGCACGATGGACCCTGCTGGCCATGGGTAGGAGGGACTCGGGTGTCACAGTGGAGGCTACTCATTCACAACCAGACTGTCGAAAGGGTTCCAGAACTCACTTGAGCTTGGCGTTCCCTTCCCAGGCTGCGGAGCTTGCAGAGTACACTGCCAAGATTGCCCTCCTGGAAGAGGCACGGAGGCGCAAGGAGGATGAGGTTGAAGAGTGGCAGCACAGGGTGAGTCTGTGCAGGGGAACCTCCGCACGCCCTCGGCATGTGTTGCCCACTGGCTGTGGTGGAGCCCTTCTGCAGGTGGGGTGGGGAGGGGGTGGTTTGGCTCAGCAGCCAGGTCCCACTGGAAGCTTCTGGGATGTCTCATGATCCTCTGCTGATACCAGCCGTACTGTTGAAGTAGAAATCCCCAGAGATGGGTCTGAGCTTATACACGAGTCAGCGCAGCTGCTGGATTCGTGGAGAGAGGGAGGACTTCTTTCACCCACTTTGCTCCCCCCACCCTGACTGTTCAGTGCCGATCTGACAGCCTGGTCAGGAACTGGTTTTAAATCAAGTTACATATGTGCCCCTTGCAATGGGGTCGCAGTGCCGGAAGCATGATTTCCTGGTGGTGGTGTATACAGTGGGCACCATGGGAAGATCCAGGTCCTTGGAAGTCTCCAGGCTGGAGCGAGAGCCAGGCTCTGCCGCTCATCAGCTTATGTGACTGGGGGCTAGCAGCGTCACCTCTCTGAGCCTCATTTTCCTCATTGTAGAATGGGAGCAATACCCAACTCATAAGGTTGCTCTGCAGATGCAAGGTCCCATGCCCAGGACCTAGCACAGACCTTCTGGCCCATCCTTCCCTCTCTGGTGCTGCCTTCTGGGGACTTGTCTCCCTGCTGTCCACAGCTGCATCTCCCTAGCATCTCCTTGCCTCTGTTCAGCCTATTCCTGCTGCCAGTCTGTATTGTTCTGTTCTCACCTGGCTATAAAGAACTACCTGAGACTCGGTAGTTTATAAAGAAAAGAGGTTTGATTGACTTACAGTCTCTCGTGGCTGGGGAAGCCTCAGGAAGTTTACAGTCATGGCAGAAGGTGAAGGGGAAGCAGGCATGTCTTAACATGGCGGCAGGAGAGAGGAAAGCAAAGGGGGCAGGGCCAAACACTTTGAAACCATCAGCTCTCACTCAGAACCTACCCACTAGCATGAGAACAGCAGAGGGAAAACCACCCCATGATCCAGTCACCTCCCACCAGGTCCCTCCTTCGACATGTGCGGATTATAGTGGGAGATGAGATTTGGGTGGAGAGACAGCCATATCACCATCCCAAGTAGGAAGCAGAAGACTGGTTTCTTAGGTTTTTAGAAAAAGTACCTGTTAAGAGTTAAGTGAGGAGAGGTGGCTACAGAGCAGCTCCACACCAAGCTCGACTCCAGGGCTGGGATGGAGGTGGGCCCGACTGGGCCCGTGTGCAGGTGGTGAGCAGGAGAGCACTTGATGAAGAGAGCCCGTTACTCATTCTGCCAGAGGATTTTTTTTTTTTTTTCTCAAAACTGATATACTGTCTAGAGTTACAGACAGAAAAAAAAAATGGTAGTTTGAAAACTGCCCAGGCTCTGGCATCACAGTTCCCCTTCCTGTCTTGGACGCAGAGAGTTGTAAGCCCCACATGCACCCTGAGGGGGCTCCTCTGTGAAGCCACAGCCCACCCCATTCAGTGCTGCCTTTGCCTGCCAGGACAGAGGGAGGCAACATTCTGTTCTCATAGCCAGGAGGATGGGAACTCTGGGTGGAAGTCCTCACCTATTGATTTGCTTTCCAAAGGCCAAAGAAGCCCAGGATGACCTGGTGAAGACCAAGGAGGAGCTGCACCTGGTAATGACTGCACCCCCGCCCCCACCGCCCCCTGTGTACGAGCCAGTGAGCTACCATGTCCAGGAGAGCTTGCAGGATGAGGGCGCAGAGCCCACGGGCTACAGCGCGGAGCTGTCTAGTGAAGGCATCCGGGATGACCGCAACGAGGAGAAGCGTATCACCGAAGCGGAGAAGAATGAGCGCGTGCAGCGGCAGCTGCTGGTGAGGCCCTAGGGGGCTCTGTGTCTCCAGGGGGCCTGCTTCTCTCTTGTAGCAGATAGGCTTGGGGAGAGCAGTGATGGGAGTCAGCCCCACCCAGCACCCTGCTTACCCTTCCCACTTTCCTACGGGAGGGGCCAGGCCAAATGGGGAGGAGAAGGGACCTAGCAATGCCTCTTAATGTTGCAGACGCTGAGCAGCGAGCTGTCCCAGGCCCGAGATGAGAATAAGAGGACCCACAATGACATCATCCACAATGAGAACATGAGGCAAGGCCGGGACAAGTACAAGACGCTGCGGCAGATCCGGCAGGGCAACACCAAGCAGCGCATTGACGAGTTCGAGGCCATGTAGTGGCCAGGCCAGGACAGAGGGCAGAGGGGCGCTCGCAGCAGGCGCTGCTGTCAGCGCTGCCAGCCTCGTCACGCTTGTGTCTTTAGTGCTCCAAGTCTAGGAACTCCCTCATCAGATCTCGGTTCCTTTAAAAAGCGTTACCCAACAGAAACATTCTGGGCTGGGAACCAGGGAGGCGCCCTGGTTGGTTTTCCCCAGTTGTATCATAGTGCCAAGCAGGCCTGATTCTCGAGATTATTTTCAAATCACCTCCTGTGTTGTGCTGAGAGCAGGACTGATTGAATTACGGAAAATGCCTGTAAAGTCTGAGTAAGAAACTTCATGCTGGCCTGTGTGATACAAGATTCTGTATCACTAAAGGAAACCGCGGCATGGCTTCCATCTGTGCCATACTTCCTCTGCATTTGAAATGAGCTCAAATTGGGTTTTGATTTTTAATTTCTATGAAGGATCCATCTTTGTATATTTACATGCTTTGAGGGGTGAAAATTATTTTGGAAATGAGACAAGCACTCGCACACACAATGATTCCCTCCTCCTGTCCACACAGCTGGCAGAAATCACAGTGGTCACCAGCGTTAGCGGCGGAGGAGGATACTTGGATAAATTTTTAGTTTTGTTGGTTTTTTGCTTAACAGTTAGAAAACTACATTGTTGTACTTACACACCTGACTGATCAGCTATATAGTATTTATATACAAGTGATAATACAGATTTGTAACATTAGTTTTAAAAAGGGAAAGTTTTGTTCTGTATATTTTGTTACCTTTTACAGAATAAGAATTACACATGGAAAACCCTCTAACCCTGGCACTTGGTGTGATGTGGCAGGGCAGTCATGAGTCACCTGCCTGCTGCAGTCACTTGTAAACAGGATTTTTATTGTTAGTGTTTTATGCATGTAACGGACTATGCACACTTTTAATTTTGTCAAATACACACATGCCACTATGACCATTTAGACTCCAGCCATGAGACTGTTCGCTCACGTGTGTCTGTTTCCATCTCTGCCATGGCCTTGGTAGGCTGTGGGGAAGGCAGCTTTGGAAGGTTGTTGCTTCTGCCCACCCATCATTCCTCCTTGTGCACTGCTTTCCCCTTTGCAGTTAAGACGCCATGAGCAGGTGGATTCCATGCTGCAGGCATGAAATAAAAGCTTTGCAAAGGCATGAAGCAGCATGAGTGTATGCTTGTGTGTGGGGTGGGAGGGCCACCGCCGACCCACCTGGGCTCTATGCTGTTCACTGGCCAGGTTTTGCAAGGGACTTTGGCGTCCCTGGGGGTACACTGGTCAGTTAAGAGCTGACCAACACAAGGCCTGAATTCTTAACCTGGTGCTCCCTGAGTCACCTAACCTCTGGAAATGTTTTCCACAGGAGAGAAGAATGGCTCCAACACTCACCAGACTCCTCTGAAATGTTCCTCATAGCAAAGCTGTGACTTTTTGGAGGCAGGGTCTCCCTTCGGCCCTGGCTGGATCGCAGTTGTGCAGTCAGTCAGGGCTTACTGTAGCCTCCTACATCCTGGGCTCAAGCAGTCTTCCCGCCTCTGCCTCTTGAGTAGCTGGGACTACAGGTGTGTACCACCACACCTGGCTAATTTTTTTTTTTTAGGTGGGGGGAGAGGGTATCTACATCGCGTGGGCTGATCTCACACTCGTGAGCTCGAGCCATCCACTGCAGCCTCCCAAAGTTGCCGGGGTTATGGGGGGAGCCACCATGCCTGGCCTGACTGACCATTTAAGCCCTGGAGGACACAGGTAACAACGTTATTGAAATCTGGCCATGTTCCACATCTCAAAGAGGAGATAACGCACCAGAGGCTTAGGTAACATTCATAATTGCTGTATTTAAGTACCCAGAGATACCCATAGGCGTTGAAGCCACAGGCAGGACTGCAGATGGAGACTGCTCAAGGTTTAAGGAGTCTCCAGCTGGGGCCCCACTCTGGGGGCGCAGTGTTTCACACCTGCTGCAACCTGGAACCTTGTGGCTTTCGTGTCAGTGCAGGATGAGAGTCATGTCTGTCCACACATTGGGGCTGGAAAGGACTTTCTGCCATTGGAGCTTCAATTGTGAGCATGCGTCCCCGCCACCAGCTGCATCTCCCTCTGTAAGGAAGACAAGTTAGCTATGGTCAGTAAGGACACCACTTCATCTCTTCTCAGCTCATTACAAATGACCAGCCAGAAGTTTTTCCACCTCAAGTCATTAAAAGGCCAACTACTGATGACATAGACACCTCCACCAGGACCCACACCCCAACAAAGCTGGCGTTGAGACGGATTTGCCCAGGCATCCCCTGCTCTGCGGTGCTCTAACAGCTCGGAGCTCTGGTTTGAAAGTGAGGTGAGGACTCTGGTTTGGTACGCTGGGTCTTCACCAAGGGAGTGAATAGTCGGCACACCAGTTCAGATTCAGGGCCAGACTTGCCCATGAAAAGGGATTCTTAAAGGAAGACAGTATGCTTTGGACAAAATCTCTGAAAAGTAATTCAGCAGTGAGGCTTAGTTCTCTCCAGTCACTGGCTCTCAGTTGGAGGTCCTTGGAGATGTGTGCAGGTGTTTTTGGTTGTCACCACGTCGGGGACACGGCTGGCAGCTAGAAGCAGCTCTAAGCACAGAACTTCACAGCAGAGGGCTGTCCACCCTGCAGGCCGGTGGCGCCCTGCCGAGCGGCTCTGGACAGCATTGCTGTTTTGACCTCTTGATGAAGTACTTTCTGAATTGCCATTTGTTTGAGTTAGGAAGCTATTTTCCTTTAAGAAAATAATCCTTTTATGATTGATGCCAGAAACAAAAGCAAATACTGTACCTAGCCCATTTGGAGGCCTATAATTTTTGTTGCTTTAGCAGATGTAAATCTGATTTAAATTGTCAAAATACTTGGCTGCATTATGGCTCAGCTGTAGAGTAAAAACTAGACAGGAATTTCCATGTAAGGCAGGTTAGGCAATTTCAAAACCAGTTAAGTCACTGCCCTGGTTTTCATGGTACCCATTAGGATAATCACAAAGGATAAATAACATTTGGGCCCAATAGCTCAGACTTACTTGAACCAAGTGTGGTTCCCCCAAGCAAGCGGTCGTTCATTCCAAGGAGAGCCTGGTCCCAAACGGTTAACTCCAAGCTCGACTGCCTCAGCTGAGCTGGGGTTACGCCACTGAAGACAAAGGAGTGTTTCCACTGGGGGCAAGCCTGCTTCTTCAGGACTGGTGACTTCAGTCTCAATTTTTGTTGGTCTGGCAGAGTGAGACAGCTGAAGAGGTGATACAAACTCTGCAATCACTGCTGTGCACATGGCCACCTCTCCCAAGGCTGGTGCATCAGCGCAGACCAGAAGCACTAAGGAAAGTGCCACATCAGCCAGGCGCAGTGGCTCACGCCTGCAATCCCAGCACTTCGGGAGGCCGAGGCAGGTGGATCACAAGGTTAGGAGTTCAAGACCAGCCTGCCCAACATGGTGAAACCCCGTCCCAACTAAAAATACAAAAATTAGCTGGGTGTGGTGACAGAAGCCTGTAATCCCAGCTACTCGGGAGGCTGAAGCAGGAGAATCACTTGAACATGAAAGGTGGAGGTTGCAGTGAGCCAAGATTGCGCCATTACACTTCAGTTTAGGCTACAGAGCAAGACTCCACCTCAAAAAAAAAAAAAAAAATGCCATGTCCACAACATCCACACCCTACACAGAGAGGCAGGATGGGAACCACGGGTCTCGGCACATTTCCCCTAGAGCTGAGTTCTGCATCAGATATGAAGGGTGTGTTGTGTGCAGAGGCCTTGTGGCCCTCATCTTAATCTTTTCTCCTTGGGGTGCCTACCGCCATGACTCCAGATACACATTACCTCCTTTTGACCCTGTTCTCAGGAAAATAAACTCAGAAAAGCTTGTCCAAGACCATGCAGATAAGCAACAAGATTAGGACACAAACTCAGTTCTATCTTTTGTCGTAGGCTATAGTGCAGTGGGGCGATCTCAGCTCACTGCAACCTCCGTCCCCCAGGTTCAAGGGAGTCTCCTGCCTCAGCTTCCTGAGCGGCTGGGATTATAGGCGCCCACTACCACACCTGGCTAATTTTTGTATTTTAAGTAGAGACAGGGTTTGCCATGTTGACCAGACTAGTCTTGAACTCCTGACCTCAGGTGATCTGCCTGTCTTGGCCTCCCAAAGCGCTGGAATTAGAGGCGTGAGCCACTGCGACCGGCCTCAGTTCTATCTTAACCATCATTTTTCCCTTATGTCACTGACAGGGAGTCTGTGATTCAATGTAATAATGAATGGTATTTGCCTTGCTTTTAGAGGGCCCTGCGCACCTACCGTGAATGAGAATGAAGTGGAGAGTCATGCATTTTACTGTTAGCCCAAGAGGAGATGTTAAGCTCAGGAAATAGTTACTGAACACACTACTTTTTCATGCTTGATTTCAAAACTGGCTTGCCAATATCACAAGAACTGATAAGATTAGGGTTTCAGGTACCCCAGCACGTACACATCCCACGAATTTTCAGAAACCAGGATCTTTAATATTATGTGTTATGTTAGATTTTCATAGGAAAGTTAAAATAAGATGGGTTAAGTGGCTTACATTTTTTGGTGTTCCCTGCAGGTTCTGGGCCGTGTCGTTATGTATACTAGATCATCAGTAAATCATTTTTGATTACATTGAATACCTACCCCTTAACAAATGAGTTCAAGGTGCCATCTGGCCGCACAGGTAAATTCTTGGCTCCCAGCACTACCAAGCAAAGTTGACCATTAAGAGACAGCTGCTCTGTCCCTGGAAGGAAAGCCATTTCTCCTGGTATGTTAGAATGCAATACCACCACCCAAAACTGAGAGCTCAGCAAGAGAATCTGCTACAGCCCTCAGACCCCAAGAGAGCAGACGGGAGTGGTGAAGTGGGCTCTGCTGGCCCCGCCCACAGGCTGTGGTGCTGTGTGGTCAGGAGGAGGACAGGATGGAGGGATTGCTAACATCCTAGCAAAGAGTAAAGAGGAACCCAAGGACAAGAAAGATGCCGACGTTCGAGTCTAGTTGTAGCCAGCAGTTTGGGGGAAAGTGAGACCCCGAGACCCTGTCCAGGGGTTGGGATGGCCAGGGGACACTTGCTGGTCTGCTGATGACTCTGTGAGCTTGGGTTGCAGAATTTCCCCTTCTAGCCAAATAGAAAGTCACTGAAATACACAACAGAACTGTGCGTTCTCCCTGTCCTCCTTCCCCACCCTCCTGCTTTCCATGTTATCGAAGGAATAAAATCTCCGTAGGGCCCCTGAGGATCTGCCTTCCTGACCTACTTCTCTTGCTGGGCAGCAGCTGCCCATGTGCCTGGGGACAGGGATGTATCTCGTCTGAGCCCTGCAGGTACCAGTGCCTCGAAATGTGCTCTTGGCTCCATGTTGTCATGGAGCCTCTGCTCTTCAGGAGGGGCCACGGTTTCCCCAGAGACCATGCAGTCGGTCCCTGGGAAGAATGCCTAGAACAGTGTCAGAGCAGCGTAGAGTGGACATCAGAGGCCTCGTCTGCATCTAGACACCCTCTTCCCCCTAAGCTACGGGCTCCAGAGAACTTCTGGGCTCACTGCATCGCTCAGTAAGAGCTGCTGGAGCTCGGAGCAGGGCCATAGAAAGGAAATGCTAGAAAGTTTACCCCCCTCTCTCAGCCTCCTGCTACACCAGGCTTTACAATGTCCAGGAAGCTGAGGCCACCAACCTTCTTGAGCCTCTTGCAGTTTTCCAGGCCCTGAAGGCAGGACCAGCTTAGCCCGGACCGCAAGCTCTCCATTACTCTGAGGAACGCTGTCTTCATATTTCTCCGCCTGGGGACAAGAGGCAGAGTTTAGGGACAGGATTCCCCAAGCCCTGAGAACCTTCTGGGCTCCTCTTGTTTTCTCAGCTCCATCCACGGATGCTTCCCCCGACCCCTGCAAGGCCCTGGGTGGATGGAGCAGGTGTGTCTGTGGCAGGAGGTCTTCCTTCCCCATCTGTGGTTTCAATCCCACCCTCCCCAACCCCAGCATGTGGATGAACAGCTCGGCCACCCCAGCAAACCAGAGCCAGATGAGCCTGAGGAAGCAGAGGAACTCGAGGGCACTGAACACCCCCTGAGACATTTCTACAAAAACCCGGACACAGCCTGAGTTTGAAAAACAGAAATGAACTCAAGCCTCCACCCCGCCAAGGTCAGTAGAGATTTGTGCTGCCCTTCCATGCCAAGGGCTGACACAGACGCTGGAGACAGCACGGGGTGCAGACTCTGCCCAGAGCCACAGGGGGTGGCCCCAAGGTGTGGCGAGTCTGAGGACACCTCCTGCCCACTGAGGCACTTCTCTGTCATGAGTGGTTTTGCCAGAAAGTGAGTGAAGACAGGGCCCGGAGAAGAGATGACCCTGAAATCCACACCAGCTTTCTCCAGTGGGGTGGGAGGAGAGTATTGGTTAGAGTCTAGAGCAGGGGCGTCCACTTTTGGCTTCCCTGGGCCACACTGGAAGAAGAATGATCTTGGGCCACACATAAAATACACTAACACTAATGATAGCTGATGAGAAAAACAAAAAAGCAAAAAAACCTCATGTTTTAAGAAAGTTTATGAATGTGTTGGGCCACATTCAATGCCATCCTGGGGCCAGGCACAGTGATTCACGCCTGTAATCCCAGCACTTTGGGAGGCCGAGGCAGGTGGATCACCTGAGGTCAGGAGTTCGAGACCAGCCTGGCCAGCATGGTGAATCCCTGTGTCTACTAAAAATACAAAAAATTAGCCAGGCATGGTGCCTGGTGCCTATAATCCCAGCTACTTGGGAGGCTGAGGCAGAGGATTGCTTGAAGCCGGGGGGACAGAGGTTACAGTAAGCTGAGATCACACAACTTCACTCCAACCTGGGCGAAAGAGCAAAACTCTGTCTCAAAACAAACAACAAGAGAAACCAAAGCGCAAAGCTGTCCTGGGCTGCGGGTTGGACAAGTTTGGTCTAGATACCTCTGGTCCACCATGGCTCCCCTGGCACCGAGAAGCAGCCCTCTCAGTCACCCTCAGAGGCTCAGGACTCCTGGGAGCCCACGTGGGCCAGCCCCCGTCTTCCTGACCCTTGGGTGCCAAACGAGATATGGCTGCCTCCAGCCTTAGTGGCCAAAAACCGAGCCAGAATCAGAGGCCAGGGGCAGGCCTGTGGGCAGACTCACCACCCAGCTGGCCTTAGGAGGGATGCCGTGCTGTCTGCTCCTCACCCACTTGCCAGAGCAGGCTCAGTCTGATGAGGCCTGGTGGCCGCCTGTCCTATGCCAGGCCCTGCTTTTTCCAGGCCTTGTCTTTGAGCTGATGGCAGAGGTGTGGGAGAGGCAGGGTGCATGGGGGATTCTGGCTCTGACAGAGGGAGTCCAGGCTGGAAACTCAGGGTGTCCCGGAGGAGCTGACGTTCTTCTGAGAGATGACAGAGGGGGAGTGAGAGGAAGCCATGGAAGCTGGACGCTTTGCCCACCTGCAGCGTGGCCGGGGCAGTAGCAAAGGGACACCAAGGCTGAAGATGAGGCCCAGAGATGGCAGGAATCCTGAGCTCCGGGTCCTGGAGGGGAGGCCACTTGTGGTTGGGGTAATCAGGAGGTGAGCTTTGGGTCATCTTGAGCTGACCTTGGATAGGGGAGGCATTCCAGGTGGGCACCAGGTAGGGAGGTCTAAGCCCAGACTCTGGCTCAGGGGAGTCAGCACAGGCAGTATGAGTGTGGACACTGCCTGGAGGGGCAGGGAGGGGGCAGACGGCTCACCGGGAGGCCTCGGCTTCACCCACCGGTAGCTGAAACCAGAGAAGCCTCCCGGCAGAGACACTGCGAATCCCAGCTGTGCTGGCTCCAGGGAGGAAAAGAGAGGCCAGATGGCCCTTGTGCCCTGTGTGCAGGTTGGAGCAGAAGGCTGGGTCCGCTATGGGCCCGTGGCTGAGGAGAGTGGTCCAGCCTGCTCGGTTTTTAAAGAGATGATGGGAGGCCACATTTTTTCTCCCTTCCGGTCTCACATGAACTCTCCACCAGTCTTGGATCTGGACATAGAAGAGCGCAAAGCAGCGTCTCCAAGGAATGCTAACCTCTCTCCAGGGCCTCCCCTCCTACCTTGACAGCCTGCGGGAGCAGATCCTAAACAGATCCAGTCCGCTCCTCTGACCCACCCACCCACCCATTTGCTGTCTATCTCCCTCTGCGCAATTCCAACGTGCCATCCAGGGCAGCCTCTGCCTTCCCGATAACATTGGGTCCAGCCACTTGTCACCTATGATTGTTCTGAGAGTGCCTGGGGTTGAAAGGTTAGAAACAACACACTGTAGCCCCCAGGGGACTGCATGCCTGAGGGTGGTGCCCCCAGGGAAAGGCATGGCCTGCTTCCAGGTCAGCCACCAGCAAGGTGAGGCCTCTGCCCGGTGAAGCCAAGAGCCCTCACCAGTCTGATCTGTGTGTGATGCTGAAGCTGGGGCTGTTCGGGTACTTGCACACAGCTGAGCCAGTTAAAACACACCCTCAGCCCACCCCACCCTGAACAAAGTAACTATTTGAAAGTCACAGTGGGTCCAAGTCTCGCCAGGTACGTTTTCTCTTATGGGATCTCTCTGAAAAGTGATTTCGGTCTCACAGTGGGGATGGAGGGCACTCAGTGTAAAACCAGACTTCACCTTGGCCCGGAGCGGATGCCAGCGGAAGGACCGTGTTGTGCTGTCTTCAAAGTCCCACGTGGCCAGAGGAATGATCACTTCTCCAAGAAACACTCTCCGGGCCAGCGCACCCAGATGCCACACCGAGACCTGCAGCCGCCGGGTCGCCAGCTGGGCAGGGGCCACCTGATACTGCAGAGGCAGAGCAAAGATAGTCAGTGGGGCTCCTGGGGTCCCCATCTCTGGGCCCCACCTCCCTAGGCTTCACTTCCCAGGGCCTGCACAGGCCTCCCTCCCACAGGCTGAGTCCAAGACGCGGATTCAGCCAGGGACCAAATGTGGTTAGGGTGGATGAAGGTGCTTACAGCCAGGGTGGGTGGGGGTCCTCTCTCTTCTCAGGAACCCCCCAACCAACTCCCCCGGTGCCCAGTGCTCTGCCTGGGGACAGGCTAGGATGGCCCAGGTAGCCACTGAGCCCCTCCCACCCCCAATTCTCAGAGCAAGACAAGGATGAAAGTCCCTGTCCAGTCCACACCTACTAGAAATCAAGCCAAAGTCTTTGCTGACACAGGATCTGAGCTTGCATCTGGCCAACACTGCACCCAACCAGGCTTGGCCAAAAATACTGAAAACGGGGCAAAAAATACTGAACATTTGTATTTTTTTCTCTTTTTTCTTTTTTTTTTTAGAGGTGGGCCTCACTATGTTGCCCAGGCTGGAGTGCAGTCGCTATTCACACAGGGGACCCCACTACTGATCAACACAGGAGTTTTGACCTGCTCCGTTTCTGACCTGCGCTGGTTCACCCCTCCTTAGGCAAACTGGTGGTCCCCGACTCCCGGGAGGTCACCCTATTTATGCCGAACTTAGTGGGGACATCCGATCGGCATAGCGCACTACAGCCCAGAACTCCTGGACTCAAGCGATCCTCCAGCCTCAGCCACCTGAGTAGCTGGGACTGCAGGCACGCGCCACCGCGCCTGGCTGAAAATTTCTATTTTTTTTTTTAAAGCAAAGCACAAACTCCCCCTCTTGCATTCCCCCCACACCATGTGTTTGCCCTGGATGGACAGGGCTGCGTCCAGGCATGCAAGGCCTGTGCTGGCTTGGCAGTGGCCAACACGATGTTCTTACTGTCCATACAGGGGGCTCCTACACACCCAAGAGTGACAAGAGCACCCCTTTCCCAGCCCAGCATGGGTTCTGCCCCACAGACACTGGAAGCCAATACTTGGGAGTGACACCCAGACCTTCCCAAGGTGTGGCGGACTCCACCTCAGCCTCTGAGGGCCTCATTTCTAGCTTATTAGTTGGATTTTCTCAATAATGAACAAAACCTACAAGCTACTGAACATTTATTTATTTCATACCGAGATTTTTAGATGCATTGATCTTTTAGCTTTTACACACCCCTATGAGGTCAGTATTATTCAAACCATTTTGCAGGTGAATACAAGAAGCTTGGAAATTCAGTGACCCTCCCTCAGTCCGGCAGCCGACACTGCAGGCCAGAGTCACGTGCACTGACTGTGTCCTGAGTCTTGCTGCTGACCTCTGTGGCCCCTGCTACCCTCACTCTGGCGCCTGTTTGGGGTTAGAGTGGTGACTCCTGGTGACACTGGGCTGTTGCTGTGAGGCTGGACTTGCTCCCACCTGCAGCAGCTGTGCGGTTTGTTTGCGGTTTATCTCCTCATGCCCACCTTTACCCATCTTTCCAATTGAGGGACGAGGTAGAATAAAACAGGAACTGAGACACGGTAACTTCTCTCCTTCGGCCTCTGCAAACAGAAGTGAGGTGCAGCAGGGCCGTCCCCGTCCCCTGCTCTGCTGGGGCTGCCTGCAGGCTCTGTCCACACTTCGGATGTCCGCAGGCCAGGCACTCATGGCTCGGCTGGCCAGGCTGTCTCCCTCAATTCATTCCTCCCTTTCTTCCCCACTGGGATGGCTTGTGACCGTGAAGATTGGAATTTCTTGGGTCACATTTCCTTTTCTCCTGCCTTTGACTATTAGCCAGTTTTCCCTCAAGTCCATGGGTCCATTTTCTTTCTGGGGAGACAGGATCTCACTCTGTCACCTAGACTGGGTGCAGTGGTACAATCTCAGCTCACTGCAGCCTCCACCTCCCAGGCTCAAGCAATCCTCCCACTTCAGCTTCCCCAGTAGTTGAGACTATAGTTAGGCATCACCACGCCCGGCTAATTTGTAGATTGCTGGTAGAGATGGGGGGGGGTCTCTACATTGGCCAGGCTGGTTTCGAACTCTTGGGCTCCAACAATCCACCCACCTCAGCCTCCCAAAGCTCTGAGATTATAAGCATGAGCCACCACACCCAACCCATGGGTCCATTTCTGACTCTGCCCCAAGTTCAATCTCTGTCTATAAACTCTGAATTGACGAGGTTATTCCCCATAGTCCAGCTACACTCCCGATCAGTTAGTCCGGGCAGCTGGACAGCTGGCTGGCGGCATCTGCTGCCCTCTGAGAGATGAAGCAGTTACTAGAGTGCCACGCTACTAGCAGGGTTAGGCTCAGGCCACAAGGTAGCTCCCTCATCTCCAGCCATGTGTGGGCCACACCCAGGCTGCTTCTCCTGGGTCTTTACCCATTGCTCGCCCCTTCCTGTCAATAGGACTATTCCCTACTGCAGATCGCATCCGCCTTTTCAAACCAGACCTATTTACCAGTGCCCTGTTGGGACCACCAGGCTTGCTCCAGACTCAGCTGGGAATGAGGCGTAAGGATCATTTGCAAGCAGGGCCGAGCAATGACCAAGGTCACCCAGTGAGATCACTTCATCCTCCAGGCCTCCAGGACAGTGGTCTCAAATGGGGTACAAGTCTCCCTGGGTCCAGAAAGGCTTGCCAAGAAGTACTCTGCTCAGAAAACTTTGAGGATCCATTTCTAGATTCTCACATTTGACATGCACTTTTCTCAAAACTGGCTGGAGACAGTTCTTATAGCCTCTTCCACCTGAATCGTACTCTGACGGCCGCCCCAGGTCGCACAAACCTCCTAGGTGCCGCACAAAGGGGTGACTGTGATCAGAAACACTGGCTTCTGCAAGACTTTCAGTGATGGATCTGCTCCATGCCTCCCATCCTTCACATCTTATGTGCATTTCTATTAAGTATGAGGCTGGTGGTGTTGGGACGTTCTGTGTTTAGGATCGATTACAGATGCTGATTCTTTTAATTGTATCTGGAAAGTTTCTCAGGACTATAAAATATTCACAACATCCACAATATCCATGGATAAGACCCATGGATAAAAAATTTTAAGTGATATCTTTGAGATTCTGTGTGCATTTTAAGTAAGGTAGGTAAACCTTTTATCCAACCATATAACTAAATATTTATCTAGAATATAGTCAATATGAAATGTTTATCTCATTTTGTAAAGCTGTTTAACACAAAATACCTTAATTAAACTTCCGATGAGTAACTCTGGATCTCCGATTAAAATGTGTGAGGGGAAACACAGTTTTTCACAATTCTTCTAGCAGGCACATGAGCAGAACTGTCTGAAGACATTCTCTGGTGATGTGCTGCTACGTACTGACTGGTCCCAGCACCAGGAGAAAGGCCCCACCCACACCTGCTGAATCAAAATCTGCATGTTTTATTATTTATTTATTTTTAATTTTATTTTATTTTTAAAGATGAGGTTTCACCATGATGGCCAGGCTGGTCTTGAACTCCTAACCTCAGGTGATCCACCCACCTCAGCCTCCCAAAGTGCTAGGATTACAGGCGTGAGCCACCGCGCCCGGCCCAAAATCTGCATGTTTTAAAAAAAATCCCCAGGGTCCAAGTACAGCTGCATCTTAGAAATAAGAAATTTAGGCCAGGTGTGGTGGCTCACACCTGTAATCCCAACAATTTGGGAGGCTGGGGTGGGCAGATCACCTGAGGTCCGGAGTTCAAGACCAGCCTGGCCAACACAGTGAAACCCCATCTCTACTAAAATCACCAAAAAAAATTAGCTGGGCATGGTGTTGGGCACCTGTAATCCCAGCTACTCAGGACGCTGAGGCAGGAGAATAGCTTGAACCGGGGAGGCAGAGGTTGCAGTGAGCTGAGATTGCACCACTGCACTCCAGCTGGGTGACAAGAGTGAAACCCCGTCTCAAAAAAAAAAGAAAGAAAAGAAGAAATTTTTTAAAAATGTAAATCTCCACGGCATAAATTTTGAGAACTGCCAGTCCTTTGTGGCTTTGAGCTGTATTTCTAAGGACTCTCTGGGTCTCAGTTTCCCTGTGGGTAAATGAGGATTCTAATACTTACCTGGCCAGAGTAGAGACACAGGAAACAAGGGCTATTATTATTTAATGAACTCGGGGCTCCATGCCAGCTGCCCAGATGGCCCCTGGCTGGCAGCTCACAGGCACCTCTACTTGCCAAGAAAGACAAACAAAGCCCTCTCTTGTCACAGGCATGAGACAAGGGGACCGATGGCTGCCATGCCCCAGCAGGGTAGCCTCCACAGGTCTGGGCTGTCACCCCCACCCCAAGCTCAGGGCCGCCACAGCCAGCCCTCAGACACCAGACCTCAGCTGTAGCCTTCCACCCAAAATCACAGCACATGGCCCCATCTCTGCCCTCAACCATCAATCACATTCCTCAGTATCATAGAAAGTGAAGACCCAAACAATTAAGGGTACCCTTTAAAAAAATAATAAAATGAGAAGAAACCTGAGTTTGTCAGAAATACAATAAAGGGACACTTTTACAAAGACAGTAACTCAGGAGCTTCATTTTCAGGACGCTCTGTTTGATAGAAACATTCACTAAGACAAACCAATTTTTAAAATTACCCTATGCCCTGGTGTTAGCCTGAGACAAAGAGGCAGCCAGGTTCTTTTTCACCATCTTCCCAGAAATCATTAATCAAAAGCCATTCCCGAGTCTGGCAGACTCTGCACTTTTCCTGTACAAAGGCTGACATTTATTTTCTACCAACTTAACACTGATTGACAGAGCCACAGAGGAACATACAGGTGTCTGCGTTATATCTAACTGAGTCAAGAGTTTGAAGGCACCATTCAGTGGACTCTGCCCCGGCTGCCCCACCTGGGCTGGGAGGACTCCGCACAGGGATATTTAGCCAGCAAGTACCTGCAAGGTCTCCTGAAAGGTCGGGTCTACCGTGTTCCTTTGGACTCCAGTCTTGCGCTTTCCCTGGGAGGATCTGTCGGGCAGCAGATAGGTCTTCACATACCTAGGGGCCAAGAACAGTGGGGACAGAGTGAGAACTCAGGGAAAGGGGTGGATAAAGAGTCCGGGGGCAGCAGAACCCAGACCCACATGCCAGCATTTTTTTTTTTTTTTTTTTTTTTTTTTGATACAGAGTCTTGTTCTGTTGCCCACGATGGAGTGCAGTGGTGCGATCTTGGCTCACTGCAACCTCTGCCTCCCAGGTTCAAGCAATTCTCCTGCCTCAGCCTCCCAAGTAGCTGCGATTACATGCATCTGCCATCACGCCCAGCTAATTTTTGTATTTTTAGTAGAGACAGGGTTTCACCGTGTTGGCCAAGCTGGTCTCAAACTCCCAACCTTGTGATCTGCCCGCCTCAGCCTACCAAAGTGCTGGGATTACAAGCGTGAGCTGCTGTGCCCGGCCCGCACCAGCATTGTCTTTACCAGGCTTCCTGCTGGAATTTTTAAGTTGATAGAAAGGGCTTAATAGCCAAAAGTAAACAACATTTAGTGCTGGGAGGGCAGCTTCTGAATCACGAAGTCTATGGTCAAATGCTGGCTACCTAACCCTCTGGAATATTCCTGGGGATGGGAAGCTCATCCTGCCTTCCTCAGGCCCTACTCCATTTGGTGAAGATGATGGAACCAGAGATTCTCCTGCCTGCCTGATGTCAAGGCCATGAGCCCGATTCCTGTCCCTCCACCTCCACCTCCACTTTCTACCACCCACCACCTGCAAAAGAAAAATAAGTGGAAGTGGAGAGCGCATGCCTCGCACTGTGCCGTTTCCATGCAGGGGCCTCCAGGACTCGGCTCCTCGCAACCGCTGAGCAGCAGCATTCTGCTGAGTCTCGAGGTCGCACACAGCACGACAGATGGCTCCATCTGCACTCACCCCGCATCTGAACGCCAGGCAGAGAGGAGGACACATCCTGTCCTGTTCTAGGCTGACCCCTCCACACAGGCCCCTACGCTGCCCTTCATGGCTCCTCTGGCAGCCGCAGTGATGGCGATGCCCACCGCCCCCCGACCAGCAGCAACCCTAGCCCCTGCTCCACAGGCTTGAAACAGGCTCCATTTTTCAAAGTAAAACAGCACAGTGAGCCCCTATCAGTGCTCTTTTGTAGCCCCACTCTTGGCCCTCTTCATCCCCCTTGGGAAGCTTTTTGTAAAAATACTCAAAACTGGCCAGAAGGCCAGGTGCAGTAGCTCACACCTATAATCCCAGCACTTTGGGAGGCTGAGGCAGGTGGATCACCTGAGGTCAGGAGTTCAAGACCAGCCTGGCCAACATAGTGAAACCCTGTTTCTACCAAAAATACAAAAATTAGCAAGGTGTAGTGGCATGCACCTGTAATCCCAGCTACTCAGGTGGCTGAGGCAGGAGAATTACTTGTACCCAGGAGATGGAGGTTGCGGTGAGCTGAGGTCGCACCACTGCACTTCAGCCTGGGCGATAAAGCAAGATTCCATTTAAAAAAAAAAAAAAAAACAAAAAAAACTGAACAAAAAAAAAAAACCCCTCAAAACTCCCTGTCTCTAATTCCCCATAGTTCATATGTAAAACAGAATACATAAAATATACCGATACGCTTGGAAGCATTCTAATCAAGTGCACACCCATGTACCCGCCCCAACCAGCATAGGCAACAGAACGCTACCAACAACTTCCCCATGGTGACCCTGCCCGCAACCAGGTAATAGCCACACTGGATTTTATACTTACCACCCGCTTGGTTTTCTTTATGGTTTCACCACTTTGATGTATCTCCTTAAACAATGTACTGCTTAGTTTTCCCTGTTTTTGAACTTTTATATAAATGGGATCATTCTGTAACTACTTGCTTTTTTTCACCCAATATTATGTTTGGGATTCATCTATGTTGCTGTAACTGCTGCTCATTCATCTCTACTCCTACTATTATTCCATTAAATGAATACACCACAAGTCATTTATCCTGCTGATAAACATTTGTCTTACATCCTAGTTTTTCGCTCTGCTCATGCTGCACACGTGCAAGCACTTCTTTTGGCACATAACCAGGAGTGATAGGTATATGCCCCTTCAACTCTTCTAGATGATGCCAAATTACCAGTTCAATCTCCTTAACAGACACAGAGTTATTCAGGTTTTCTATTTCATCTCATGTCAGTTTCGGCAGTTTGTGTCTCTTGAGAATGTGTCCATTTCAGCCAGGTGTGGTGGCTCATGCCTGTAAGTCCAGAATTTTGGGAGGCCAAGGCAGGAGAATTGCATGAGCCCCTGAGTTTGAGACCAGCCTGGGCAACATAGTGGGACCTCATCACTACAAAAAATGTTTTAAGTTAGCTGGGCATGGTGGTGCACACCTGTGATCCCAGCTACTCAGGAGGCTGAGGCAGTAGGACCACTTGAGCTCAGGAGTTTCAGACCAGCCTAGGCAACACACTGAGACCTTGTTTCTATTACAAGAAGAAAGAAGAGGGAAGAGGAGGAAGAGTGTTTCATCTAAGTTGTTAAATTTATTAGCACAAAGTTTTACATAATATCCCCATATTACACTTTTTATTTTTTTTGAGACAGTCTCACTCGGTTGCTGAGTCTGGGGTGCAGTGGCACAATCTCGGCTCACTGCAACCTCTGCCTCCCAGGCTGAGGCAATTCTCCCACCTCAGCCTCCTGAGTAGCTGGGATTACAGGCATGCATCACCATGCCTGGCTTATTTTTTCTGTATTTTTAGTAGAGATAGGGTTTCACCATGTTGGCCAGGCTGGTCTTGAACTCCTGACCTCAAGTGATCCACTTGCCTCAGCCTCCCAAAGTGCTGGGATTACAGGCATGAGCCACCGCGCCTATCCTAATTTTTGTATTTTTAGTGGAAGTGAGGTTTCACTATGTTGGTCAGGCCAGTCTCAAACTCCTGACCTCAAGTGATCTGCCCACTTCAGCCTCCCAAAGTGCTGGGATTACAAGTGTGAGCCACCGCACCCAGACCACTTATTATCCCTTAACGTCTGCAAGTTCTGTCATGTTGTCTCTTCTTTCATTCCCACACCGGTATTTGAGTTCTCTCTGAGACAGAGTCTCACTCTGCCACAGGCCAGAGTGCAATGGTGCAACCTCAGCTCACTGCAACGTCTGCCTCCTGGGTTCAAGGAATTCTCCTGCCTCAGCTTCCCGGGTAGCTGTGATTACAGGCGACCGCCACCATTCCTGGCTAATTTTTTTGTATTTTTAGTACAGAGAGGTTTCACCATTTTGGTCAGGCTGGTCTCGAACTCCCAACCTCAGGTGGTCTGCCCTCCTCAGCCTCCCAAAGTGCTGAGATTATAGGTGTGAGCTACCACACCTGGGAGAATTCTTTTTAAAATCTTAGTCTAGAGAGTTATCAGTTTTATTAATCTTTTCAAAGAACCAAGATTTAAGTTCATCACATCTTTTTCATTGTTTTCTATTTCATTGATTTGTGTTCATTCTTATCTTTGCTGCTTTCATCCTTGCTTTAGAACTAATTTGTTCTTCTTTTTCTAGCTTTTTTTTTTTTTTTTTTTTTTTTTTGAGACAGTCTTGCTCTGTCACCCAGGCTGGAGTGCAGTGACATGATCTCTGCTCACTGCAACCTCCACCTCCCAGGTTCGAGTGATTCTCCTGCCTCAGCCTCCCTAATAGCTGGGACTACTGGCACACACCACCACACCTGGCTAATTTTTGTATTTTTAGTAGAGACAGGGTTTCCCCATGTTAGCCAGACCAGTCTCAAACTCCTGGCCTCAGGTGATCCACCCACCTTGGCCTCCCAAAGTGCTGGAATTACAGGCATGAGCCACAGCACCTGCCTTTTTCTAGCATTTTAAGGTGGAAGTTTAAATAATTCATTTTAAACCTTTCTTCTTTTAAATATAAGCACTGCTTTAGCTGTATCCCTCAAATTTTGAAATTTACAAGTCAGGGAATACTTCTGGGACAAAGACTATTCCAGTTTTCCTGAGGTAGATGGTACAGGAAGAGCAATAATAAAAGCTAAGACTAGAAAAGGAGAGAGTCCGTTATGAAGGAGCCGTAAGTGCTACAGAAATGTGTACTTAATCTGTCTGGTACGAAAGAGCTACTAAAAATTTCAGAGCAGAAGAGTTCGATTAAATCAACAATTGATTTCTTTTCCCATCATCACTCTTTAGCTGTTAATTAAAACACTATGCCCGAAGTTTCCCATGTAAGAAGAAAAAAAAAAGGCAAAAATGAGGCCCCGCCTTAAACTATATATAGAAAATCAATTCCAGTTGTTACGTGAACAGATCTAAGCATGAAAAAAAAAAAAAAAATAAAAAAAAAAAAAAAAAAGATTTAAACCCTTCAATGCCACAGGAATTCTACAGACACAAAAAGCAGAGAGTTTAAAGGAAAAGCTTGATAAATTTGATATTACTTTTTTTTTTTTTTTTTTTTTGGAGACAGAGTTTCACTCTTTCACCCAGGCTGGAGTGCAGTGATGTGATCTCCGCTCACTGCAACTTCCACCTCCCAGGTTCAAGAGATTCTCTTGCTTCAGTCTCCCGAGTAGCTGAGACTACAGGTGTGTGCCACCATGCCTGGCTAATTTTTTGTAATTTTTAGTAGAGATGGGTTTTTACCATGTTAGCCAGGATGGTCTTGATCTCCTGACCTCATGATCTGCCTGCCTCAGCTTCCCAAAGTGCTGGGATCACAGGTGTGAGCCACCCCACCCGGTCAATATTAAATGTTCTACAGTAAAAATCATAATAAATGAGTTATAAAAGAAGTTATAGCTGGGATAAAATATGTGGAATACATATAACTAATAAATAATTTTTAAACCTCTTTAAAATAGGTTTAACCATCAAGGTCATTTCCTCACAAACTTAAAAAATAGGTTTAACAAAAAACCTCTGGTGAATAAATAAAATGATAAACAATCCAGTAGAAAAATGGGAGGCCAGATGCAGTGGCTCATGACTATAATCCCAGAGCTTTGGGAGGCTGAGGTGTGGGGATGGATGGCTCAGCCCAGGAGTTTGAGACCAGCCTTGGCAGCAGAGCAAAACCCTGTCTCTACAAAAATAAGTTAAAAATCTAGCTTGAAAAAAAAAGTTAAAAATATAGCCTCCTAAGTAGCTGGGATTATAGGCATGTGCCTCCCAGCTACTGAGGAGGCTGAGGCAGGGGGATTGCTTGAGGCTGCAGGGAGCCACGATCATGCCATTGTACTCCGCGCCTATAGTCCCAGCTATTCAGGAGGCTGAGGCAGGGGGATTGCTTGAGCTATAGTGGCACCACTGCTCTCCAGGCTGGGTGACACAGTGAGACCCTGTCTCTTAAAAAATAATTTTGGGCCGGGCACGGTGGCTCAAGCCTGTAATCCCAGCACTTTGGGAGGCCGAGGCGGGTGGATCACGAGGTCAAGAGATCGAGACCATCCTGGTCAACTTGGTGAAAACCCTGTCTCTACTAAAACTACAAAAAATTAGCTGGGCATGGTGGCGCGTGCCTGTAATCCCAGCCACTCAGGAGGCTGAGGCAGGAGAATTGCCTGAACCCAGGAGGTGGAGGTTGCGGTGAGCTGAGATTGCACCATTGCACTCCAGCCTGGGTAACAAGAGTGAAACTCCGTCTCAAAAAAAAATAATAATAATAATTTTAATTAATTAAAATTTTAAAAAGAAAAATGGGCAAAAGATATGAACAGAAAGTTCGCAAAAAAATAAACCTAGCCGGGCGTGGTAGCTCACACTTGTAATCCCAGCACTTTGGGAGGCCAAGGCAGGGCGATCGATCACTTGAGGTTGGGAGTTCGAGACCAGCCTGGCCAACATGGGGAAACTCTGTCTCTATTAAAAATACAAAAATTAGGCCAGGCACGGTGGCTCATGCCCGTAATCCCAGCTACTTGGGAGGCTGAGGCAGGAGAATCGCTTGAACCTGGGAGATGGAGGTTGCAGTGAGCCGAGATCACACCATTGCATTCCAGCCTGGGTGACAGAGCGAGACTCTGCCTCAAAAAAAAAAAAAAAAAAAAAAATTCAAAAATTAGCTGAGCGTGGTGGCGGGCACCTGTAATCCCAGCTACTCAGGGGGCTAAGGCAGGAGAATAGTTTGAATCCAGGAGGCAGAGGTTGCAGTGAGCCGAGGTTGCACCACTGCACTCTAGCCTGGGCAACAGAACAAGGCTCTGTCTCAAAACAAACAAAAAAAGAATAAACCTAAGTGGCTAGTGCATATATAATAAGTGGCTCAAAAGACTGGGCTGGCACCTGTAATCTCCCTTCTACCATGTGGGACACAAGAAAACAGCCATCTAAGAACCAGAAAGGAGGCCCTCACTAGATACCAAATCTACTAGCACCTGGATCTTTGACTTCCCGGCCTCCAAACTGTGAGATAGGTGTTTGTCTTGTTTATAAGCCACCTGGTCTACGTATTGTCATAGCAGCGAAATGGACTAAGACCCTCCTTAGTCACGTCACTTTTCATATACGCTAGGGTCGGAATCTGGAGTTGATCTACTCTCCCGACTTGCTCTATTCTTGTGTTAATAACACATTGTTTGAATTGCTACAGCTTTATAATAATTCTTCAAGTGGCCTTTTCCGTTTTTATAATTGTCCTGGTTATTCTTAGACTTTTGCTTTTTCATATAAATTTTAGAATCAGTATGTCTTACGTTAAACTTCAGAACTTACGGATTGCACTTTTTCTTCTTATCTTCTCCATAGGCGAGGTTCTTACAGGCCTTGATGCATATTTCTAAAGAGTGGGTTTTGAAGCAGTAACGAATGGCCAATTCTATTTCCCCAGTGACGTCGGCATTGTCAAAGTTGCCCATCTCTGTACAGGTGCTATTAATGCTAATTAAACTTCCCTGAAATCAAGAATGACAGACATAATAAGTTACATCACAGTTCATTCATTTTCCTGCAGTTGTGGTTTCAAGATAGCAAATAAATAAAAACTCACCCGGAGCATGTACCCTGACTCCCACTAAGTTAATAATGCACTAGCTTGTACTTTGCCAAAGTAAGTTGCCACATGTTCTGTCCTAAGGAGATAGGGAATCCTCAGAAGGCCCTGTCTTGCCGGGATATAGTTTTTGCCTAGCAATAAAGGTTACACAATCTCACTCTTTAACACAAATTGCTTGGAGCGAAATGGACTATCTCCTATGCAATCCTGCAGAATCAGGCTCAGGAGGCCAGACAATCCCCGTGGCAGGACAGCACTGCAGAAACAGCAGTGTGGGGCCACATGGCTGTGACTGGCCATCAGACAGACCTGGGCTCAGATGCTGGCCCTGCCACTCATTAGCTGTGGTAAAATCTAACTGGAAAATACAATACTGATCTCATAGGGCTCTGGTGAGGATAATGGTAAATTGTAGGTAAATTTTTCTGGTTACCTAAAATGAAAAATAAAACTATCTTCACAATCTAGGGTACTTTAAACTTATATGATGTAGATAAGGAGACGCTATAATGAATGCTGTTCATTAGCACAAAAGGCCTGGGCCTGAAAGATACAATAAGCTGCCTTATCACTTTATTTATTTTTTTTTATTTTTTGAGACGGGAGTCTTGCTCTGTCACCAGACTGGAATACAGTGGCGCAATCTCAGCTCACTGCAACCTCTGCCTCCCGGATTCAAGCGATTCTCCTGCCTCAGCCTCCTGAGTCGCTGGGACTCCCAGTGCCCACCACCATGCCCGGCTAATATTTGTATTTCTAGTAGAGACAGGGTTTCATCATGTTGGCCAGGATGGTCAACCTCGTGATCCACCCACCTCAGTCTCACTTTATCACTATTAAATGTGCTTAAATACTCGGCAACACTTGCATGCAACCAATGCAACCAATCTCTGTGCTGCCTTTATAGGAAGAGAAGCCTAACTGATTTCTACTTCTAGTTCCCAGCTAGCTCCTCCACACGATAAAACATCCAGAAAAGAATAGAAGAAATAAGCCTGGGGGCAGAAAGTCGAACCACGAGGGAAGATAAAATTAAAACAATACCAACAACTGGGACCTGGCGTGGTGGCTCACGCTTGTAATCCCAGCACTTTGGAAGGCCAAGGTGGGCAGATTGCTGGAGGTCAGGAGTTCGAGACCGGCCTGGCCAAGATGGTGAAACCCTATCTCTACTAAAAATACAAAAATTAGCCAGGCATAGTGGCACATGCCTGTAATCCCAGCTACTTGGGAGGCTGAGGCATAAGAATTGCTTTAACCCAGGAGGTGGAAGGTGCAGTGAGCCAAGGTCGCACCACTGCACTCCATGCTGGGTGACAGAGTGAGGCCCCGTCTCAAACAAAGAAATAAATCAAAAGCAATACCAACAACTCATCAAAGGGGCTGGAACCTGAACTGATGAATGGCAAGAACAAAACAAGCTTCACCAAACCCAGTCACTGGCTCTGAAAAGTATCACTTGCCAACACCAGCACGATGTTAAAATGGAAAACAATGTACAATTTTTACGAACTCAGAAAGGCATGGATCGGGCATGGTGGCTCACACCCATAATCCCAACACTTCAGGAGGGGTAGGCAGGCGGATCACTCGAGGTCAGGCGTTTGAAATCAGCCTGGCCAATATGGTGAAACCCCCACTCTACCAGAGGAGGAAAAAAAGCCATGGACTGGTGCACCAGCATGAATGAGTGAGGTATGAGAAGTGAAGATAGAAGAGAATGGATAAAGAAGCTTGGTAAAATGTGTGAGCGGCCTGAGAACCAGGTGGATGAATGGAGAGGCTAATGAGTGCGATTAATACAGCATTTGTCATGGGACTCATCTTCAGGCTATGTTGAACTAAATGGTATGACACACACTTTTCTGCTGAGAACAATTAGAAAGCTGAATTAAACAACCAAACTATTTCAAGACATTGCAGAGCTGCCAAGACCACCAGGATGCAAGAGGCCAGGATGCTGAGGAGAAGCACGCCGAAGCAAGCAACATTCGGAGCTGCTCTCACATCGAGGCATTGGTCCCCGTGCAAGCAACACAGGACTTTTGATTCTAGTCTACTGACCCGCTTGACTCTCCTTGCATCAAGAACACACTGTTCGGGCCGGGCGTGGTGGCTCAGGCCTGTAATCCCAGTACTTTGGGAGGCTGAGGCAGGTGGATCACCTGAGGTTAGGAGTTCGAGACCGGCCTGGCCAACGTGGGGAAACCCCGTTTCTACTAAAAATACAAAAATTAGCAGGGCATGGTGGCACGTGCCTGTAGTTCCAGCTACTCAGGAGGCTAAAGCAGGTGAATCACTTGAACTGGGGAGGTAGAGGTTGTGATGAGCTAAGATCGTGCCACTGTACTCCAGCCTGGGTGACAGAGTGAGATTCTGTCTCAAAAAATAATAATAATAATAATTAAAAAAAGAACATATTGTTTGAATGACTACAGCTGTATGTCCAAGGGTTGGATGGCCAAGAAGTCAATCTAAATGAAACAGCAAAGAGACTAAGAAGCTGAGCGGAGTTTTCAGCAGCCTAACGAGAATGGGAGACAAAATCAGCATTCAAGGCCATGAAGTCATGTGGAACCTGAGGAGCTAAGGTCGTAGGGACAGGGCAAATCCATGCTTTAGGATGCCAACTAGGGGCACATGCGCCTTTAGCAAAATTGTGACATCCACCATGCATTTGGCCCAGCAGCATACAGTGCAGTGGGAGTTCAAGAAGTTCTGCAAAGGAGATGAGAGCCTTGAAGATAAGGAGTGCAGCGGTCGGTCACTGGAAGATGACAACAACCAGCTGAGACCAATCATCGAAGCTGATCCTACAACTACAGGAGAATTTGTCGAGAAACTCAGCGTCAATCATTCCACCATTGTTCGGCATTTGAAGCAAACTGGAAAGGTGAAAAAGCTCGGTAAGTGGGTGCCTCGTGTGCTGAGCAAAAATAAAAAAACAATCGTCATTTTGAAGTGTTGTCTTCTCTTATTCTACACAACAACAAACCATTTATCAATCAGATTGTGATGTATGATGAAAAGTGGATTTTATATGACAACCAGCAACGACCAGCTTAGCGGCTGGACCGAGAAGAAGCTCCAAAGCGCTCCCCAACGCCAAACTTGCACCAAAAAAAGGTCCTGGTCACTGTTTGGTGCCCTGCTGCCAGTCTCATCTGCTACAGCTTTCTGAGTCCCAGTGGGCATACACCTGAGACATATGCTCAGCAAATCCATGAGACGCATCAAAAATTGCAATGTCTGCAGTTGGCACTGGTCAACAGAAGGGGCCCAATTCTTCTCTATGACAACGCCAGACTAACCAACACTTCAAAAGACGAACAAGGCCAGGCGCGATGACTCATACCTGTAATCCCAGCACTTTGGGAGGCCAAGGCAGGCAGATCACCTGAGGTCAGGAGTTTGAGACCAACTGGCCAATATGCTAAAACCCCTTCTCTACTAAAAATACAAAAATTAGCTGGGTGTGGTGGCACATGCCTGTAATCCCAGCTACTCAGGAGGCTGAGGCAGGAGAATCAGATGAACCCGGGAGGTGGAAGTTGCAGTGAGCTGAGACAGCACCACTGCACTCCAGCATGGACGACAGAACAAGACTCCATCTCAAAGCAAAAAAACAAAAACAAAAGTTAAACGAATTAGGCTACAAAGTTTTGCCTCATCCACCATATTCACCTGCCCTCTCACCAACAGACGACCACTTCTTCAATCATCTTGAGAACTTTTTGCAGGGAAAACACAGCCAGAAGGATGCAGAAAAAGCTTTCCAAGAGTTCACTGAATCCCAAAGAACAGATTTTTATGGTACAGGAATAAATAAACTTATTTCTTGTTGACAAAAATGTGTTGATTGTAATGGCTATTTTTATTCATAAAGATATGTTTGAGCCTAGTTATGATATAAAATTCATGGTCCAAAACCACAATTACTTTTCTAGCAACCTAATACCTTTGAGTCTCAAATTATCCCAGTTTTTCGTGCTCAATGTCCAGCATTCAATAAAAAATTGCCACGCATACTAGGACTAAAAAGTAACCGAGTGTCCCAGTTTCCTTATGACTAAGGAATTTTCTGGGAGGTAAGACTTGAACTGCTAAAACAAGGTGAGTCCTGAGTAACCTGGGATGGTTTGTCATCCTAAGTCTAAGATCCAAGAATAAGTGACCAGGAACAAAGAGGAAAAATACACAATAAAAACAGACTCAAAGGTGATCCCAAAAACAAAGAGGAAAAATACACAATAAAAACAGACCCACAGGTGATCCAGATATTGGCATTGAAAGATACAAATTTTAAAATAACTGAATATTGTCAAGAAAATATATGACAAGAATATATTTCTCCAGAGAACTAGAATGTATAATAAAGAATCTAGAATTTCTCCAGAGAACTAGAATTATAATGAAGAATCGAACAAATTTCTCCAGAGGACTAGAATTTTTATTTATTTATTTTTATTTTTATTTTTTTGAGATGGAGTCTCACCCTGCCACCCAGGATGGAGTGCAATGGCATGACGTCCACGGTCTTGAGCTCCTGACCTCAGGTGGTCCACCTGCCTCAGCTTCCTAAAGTGCTGGGATTACAGGCATGAGCCACCGCACTTGGCTAGAATTTACAATAATAAATCAAATAGAAATTAAGGAGTTGGCCATGGTGGCTCACATCTGTAATACCAGCACTTTGGGAGGCTGAGACAGGCAGATCATCTGGGGTCAGTAGTTCAAGATCAGCCTGGCCAACAGGGTGAAATCTAACTCTACTAAAAACACAAAAATGAGCCAGGTGTGGTGGCACACACTTGTAATCCCAGCTATGCAGGAGAATGAGGCAGGAGAATCACTTGAACCCAGCAGGCAGAGGTTGCAGTGAGCTGAGATCATACCACT